AACACAAACTTTATTAGTTGCATGAGCTATATTTCACACAATCTATTATTATTCAGTACAGGGTGAAGACAGCACTAGATGGTTTTGTCTCTTATCAAGATAAATATTGAAAGTGGCTATCTTTTCAGAGAAAATCAATACAGATAAGTGAAACACTGAATGTGTAGGGTTTCAGTGTTTTCATTTTCTCATAGTGTAACTACAGGATGAGGACTTAGGGAATTTATAGGGTGCCCAGAGAAACCTCTGCTGGCCTTACTGTAGGTACTCCCCCAACATTCTGTCTTCTGCCAGAATGGCTGTGCTTTTGTCTCCTTTACAGATGGAAGGTCCCTGGTAGCACATCTTTTGTACAAATGGTTTCTTCTCTTAAGTAATTGGAAAACAGCTCTAGCTGATTTAAAGGCCTGGCATAGGAAGTGGCTAAAATAGTTTCCAGTGTGTGTATGTGGTATCTTCCTGCGACTGAGTGGATTTCTGTTGGCATATCTGCCCAGGTTAAATCTCATTAGGTTAGGTTTATGATGACACAAGAAGATGCTTAGAGATAAACATGGGTACCTAGTTTTCTAGTGACAGTAGTAGTGACTTCAGAGCCGTGAGGGAGAATTTTTCTTCTCCATTGCTAATTCCTTTCCTTTCTTCTCATAGTTGCAGAGTAATGACTGGATTCTTGTGTTAGCCAACTTTCCCACTACGGAAACAAACACCTAAGATTAAAATCAGCTTGACAAGCGGAAAGGTATTTTGGCCCATGGGTTTTAGAGTTTTCAGTCCATAAATGATTGGTGCTGAGGCTTTGGACATATGGTGGCTTAGTCCATCATGGCAGTAGCACATGGCAGAGGTAGCCTGGTCATCTCATGACTGAGACACAGAGGAAAAGGAGGGTTTGGTGCTTCAACAATCATATCAAGGCCAAACCCAGTGGCTGGAAGACCTAATGTTGGCTTTATCTGTTACTGGTTTCACCAGCTCTGTTAGTGCTGTGGACTGGGTACTAAGACATTGACACACATTCCTTTGGACATATATTTATACCACAGTGTTTTTTTGTTTTTTTTTTATAACTTCTCTGCAGAGTGATCAATATAGTTTAAAACAGTTTGAATTATGAAGCTGTAGATTGTAAAACCATGTACTGCAGTTCAGTGCAGCTTTTATTCCTTGTATCAGGATGATTTTTGTTTGTTTGTTTATTGAGAGAGGGTCTCCCTATAGTCCCAGTTTGCCTGAAACATGCTACTGTAGACCAGACTGACCTAGATCTCAAGATCCACCTGCCTCTGTCTCCTAAGTACTCGGATTAAAGGTGTGTGCTGTCATGCCCGCCCAGGAAGATTTTCTTAAATTTAGCTGATGGGCATTTAATTGTCTTGAGCCTTTTTTCAAGCATATATTCTTGTAGTTCCTGAAAACTTTGCTTTCTCGTATGAAAATATGTTTCAGAATGATTTCCCACGTTTTCTACACAAAGTCTAAAATCAGCCATTCCTAGGATTATTTTTTTTTTAAAGAAGAGCCCTGCTTTGCCTTTTTTTCTGTTAACACTATCTACAGAAACACATGTTGGCAGTATAGAAAGCTGAAAAAAAAAAAAACCAACATTCATTCTAGTTTAAATATGAATGTTTGTTCAAGAAAGTGTTGCACAGTTAAAGAAAAAGCATTGGGTGGTGTCTGTTTGTGTGGCCGCAGGAGGCGCATAGTGATTCTTAGGTGTTGAGTGGTATCCAGTGAGTCTTTCTTAGACACTGTGCTATTTGATATCCCATCTCAGGTTACGTTCCATTCACTCTAGACCCTCTGAACTGTCTCTTCTGCTACACAGGCACAAATTTCACAGGTTAATGCCCAGAAGATTTGAAATTCATGCATTTATTTTCATAAGATCTTTGTGGGTTGGGAAATAAACAGCAGAGTTACAATTTTTAAAATTTTATTTTAAACTTACAGGTGCATGTGTTTTATTTGTATGTCTCTATTGATGAGTGACATGTAGGGTGAAAATTAGAGATGGCCTCTTCTGATGTCCTAAAGCATGGTCCTGTAATGTCCCCACACCCCTTTCTCTGCTGCCTTGCAGGGAGGGTGCTTAGCAAACCTTACAACTGACGGAAGGAAGCTGCCAGTAATAGTCATTTGTCCTCATTCTTTTTGCTTTAAATATTTCCTTTAAAATTCCATTTCTCAGTGTCATACTAAAATATAACTGCCACTGTACTGAAAACACCCAGAATTTCCTTTTGGACCGTGTGTACAGAACGCACATCTAAAATAGATATTTTCTTACCACTTGGCATCCCTTTCTCCATTGTGTCTTCCAAGGGCATGGCCTATTTAAGTATAAATGTGTACGTTCATGTTTGCATCCATTGTTAGATTGTGAGAATGTGTCACTTACTCAAATGAGAGGGAACATTTGCAGGCTTATCTGGAAGAACTTGTTCTTAATACACTTCATCTGATTGGATGGAAAAGGCATCATCCCTTCCTTAAGCGAGCATTTCGTAGGTCTCCATCCCTGTGATGTCTTGGAGCCATTATGTAGCAGTTGGCTGTGATATGCTTACACAGACACAAATTAAATCCGACAGGACTGATGTCTCTAGACTTTTCTGCCATCTGAAATGCTGGCATGAGGCTGGAGCAGCAGAAGGGGGAGGAGGGGACGGGAGAGCTGATTCCTTTAGCTCTTTTCCTACGAAGGTTGGAGATTTCTAACAGCTGATAGCTGAGAACTGCTCGATAAGCTGTTTTCCAGATAAACTGATAACCAATCTGTGTTCTGGAACAGCTGGCTAGATTTAGTGTTCAAGAAGATGTGCTTTAATGTTCAACTTGCTTCTTTATGCCACTCACAAATATGTGTCAAACAAACAAACAAAATAGAGGCTATCATCTAGTTGGTGATAATTAGAATAATTAGAGTGATTTCCCCTCCCTTTTAGCTGTGTCTTTCCTGCATTCAGACTGTTCTTACATAGCAATGAAAAAGATACAGATTTTAAGATGGTTGTTTTTATGTTCAAATTCAGGGTCAAAAAGACACAGTATAGTATCTGCATTATAATTCTTTTAAAAATCGAGTTATTTTAGGGGATGAAGCTATTTATGGATATCTCTGCAATTTCTTGTCAAAAGTTTTACAATGTTTCAAACAATGTGATATGCAGAAATTAAAGTTATACAGTTTCATTTTGGAAATGGATCCTGATAGTCATCCTCAAGTCCTTATACAATGGTAGAGGAGGCAATAATATACAATAGCCTCTCCACTTCCTTTTAAGTAAGAGACTCCTCTGTGTAAGGGGCTTTGCTAGGTTTATTGAAGTCGCCTATGCACAATTATTTATTGCTTCAAGAATCATACTCCAAATTATTTCTTGGAGCCTGTCTCTCATCACTTTCCTTCTTTCTCCTGGGAAAACCATTACTCTTTTTCCTTGCGGGTGGGGGGATTTAAATTTAGTTTTTATTATCATTGTGTGTGTGCTCACCTATATGTGCCATGACACATGTGCTGAGGTCAGAGGACAGTTTTTCGAATTTGGTTATATCTTTCCATTGGAGACTCCAGGGGCCAAACTCAAGCCGTCAGTCTTGTACAACAAACACTGTTACCTGCTGAGCCACTTTGCCAGCCCCATCGTTACTCATGAGTTGAATATTACTTCTCACCAGGAACTCTTGCTATGACTCAATGGAATTCTGTATTGTCCCTGATTCAGCTGCCAGTTTCCCAAAGCCTCATTCCATATTGTGTCTGCTGTAGAACAAAGTACAGCTTGGCTTTATACTGGACGAGCCAAGATTTCTAGACTTAGATTGACACCCAAGGATCTCTCTGTGCTCTGCTTCTCTTGTGCTGCCTTCTGTTTTCCCAATTCTTACCTCATTCTAAGCCAGTTGCTCTCAAAAGGTGCTCCCTGAAACCAAAAGCATCAGTACGTGTTAGAAAAGCAAAGTCTCAGACCCTGCCTGAGAGCTAGTGAACTCTCAACTGTTATGGTGCACAGTTCTCTGTTTAACAAGCTATCCCTGCTCTAACACAACCAGGGGCTCACTTTTTCCAAAGGTCCTTTCTGTTTAACGACTTTGCATGGAATGCAGGAAATGTGTGTCCCTCATCTTTTAAAATCTGCCATACGCTCAAGGTTCCTGTTGAAACACTGGTTTGTCCAGGAACCCATTTCTGACCTTATGTTCTTTGACATCGTTTAGTTCCTTTCCTGGCTGTAATCAATAATTAGATTATCTTAGTCATCTAGTATACTGATGGCCCCTGAGCCCTCCCTGCTAAAACTGGAAACTCACAAAGAGTGGAGTGGGACTTTCTGTCCCTCCAGATACTTTGTGCTGAATGGTGCTGTCTGGTGTCTCACATACAGTAGGTACTCAGACAGTAACTTGTGGCTTATTGATATTACAGACATTGAGAAAATTCAGCCCTTGTCCAGGAGGCATATAAAAATCCCATTTTATCTAAGAGGCTCCTGCTAAATATTGCTTTGACTTACTGAGGTCAAACTAGACATTGATGTGTCTTCAAGAAGAGTCAAATGTGCTGGTAGAAAAAAATACTAACTGTTACTATTTAGGAGGGGTTGAATTAGCCTCGACAGTTGGTTCACCTACTGCCAAGAACGCCACTTCCCTTATTGTGTCATGAATAGGCGGAATGACTTCTTTTAAACCTTTCTTATGGCTCTGGTGTGCTTTTTCCATTGATGCATTCATATAGAGAGTGAGATGACATGATGGTGGGTGGCTCCTTGGAGTACAGTGCCCCAATGATGGCGTAAGAGAAGAAAGAAGTTCCTGGTAGTTGGCTTTAGGTGGCCCAACAGTAGGCATGTCAGAGACCAAGTTTCTTCCCAATCAAAGGGCTCCAGTATGTATTGTATGTTTTACGATGGGTTAAAAGAACCAGGGGAAAGAGTGAGAAATTTAAATGTCTTTGTGTTTTCTTTTTCTTTTCTTGTCCCCTTCTTTCACAGGCTCTGAAAAGGTTCCGGCTGAAGTTTCTGAGCAGACCACTTGCTGCTGCTTCCTAGGCTGTGTTTCCAAGCTGCCGGCGCACGCCATCAACTAGCTGCAGGATGCTGCCCGTGGCCAGACCTCTGTTGCTGCTCCTTGCATTCCTCCTCTGCGCCTGTGCTGAGAGTAAGCCATCCTGCCCTTCTCTAAGGAGCTGTGACTATAACGTGGCTCTGTTTGTAGTTGGCATGAGGCTCAGGCCTCTGAACGCATTTCCTTTGGAAGTGTATCTTGAGATACTTTGGGATCTTCCTTGGTTCCCAGCCAGCCTTTGAAAGGGATTATTGATGGGACTCCCTCACACCTCCCCTCCTGCTTAATGTCTCTTTACTTGTGTGTCTAACTGCTTCTACTGCTTATCTTTATTTTTATTTATTTTTTGATACTGCTTACCAGCCTGATGACAAAGACAGTATGAGACCAATGACACCAGTTAAACCGGGGCTAACCAGTTGGTGGTGTCAATAATAAACATTGCTCAGACTCACTAGAAATTTCTTCAGTTGTATGGATATTTCTATGTTTAGAAACATGCCCAATGTGACAGTGAGCCCAATTAAACTTGCAAGCTCCTTGTAGCCGTCACAGCAGCTGTTGTGATGTACTGTTTCCAACAGCTGTCTTCGAGTACAATATTCAAACAAATCAAACAGAACTGACAAAGTCGTGGCTGAGTGGAGGGTCTGGAAGTGGGAAAAGAATGCTGTGTAATGCAAGCACTAAAGTTTGGCTTTCTGGACTCAATTTGTGGCGCTGGGATGGTGGTTAGTTAGCTCACCAAATAAAGAGATGATCGTATCTCTTGTAATTAGCAATCTTTAGGTCTACCTTGTTCACATGTATTTCTTTCCTCATCTATCCTGGGAAGAAATAGTGCCGGAAAAAGGCCTGTGCCAGGCTTTCACTCACTGACGTGTTTCCTCCAGAGTGGTGTAGCTCATGAGTGAGTTGGTCATTTTCCTGAGGAAGTCTCCTGGCACAATTAGCATGTATAACATTTGCAGTCATTAACATTTCCCTCCACCACTATCCCAGTGAGGCTGAATTTGATTCATGTTAAGGATATCTTGAAGACAAGGAATCTCTCTCATCTTGGCCCTTTCTTATTAATTGCATCTTGACAAGAATTCCCTCAATAACAGCCCTTTGCGCCATTTAAATAAGGCTCTGTTTTCTAAAGGAATCTTTCAAGGAGTGAAAGAAATGCTATTAATTGAATACATATGGAACACACACGCTTTAAGTACAACATTCTAACTAGTACCTGGGAGTGTTGGTTTAAGGTGAAGCCAAGGAATTTCTAATACAATGCCAGGAAGTAATTAACTGGGAAAGGATCCAAATATAAGATATTTTAGTTATTTTAAAGGCATTTCTGTCAAAACTTATTCTAAAATTTATATGTAGATTATTAGAAAGCAATTTGGCTTACGGCTTTATTTTCACCATTGTTAATTTTTGGCAAGAACTTGTTAAGACCCTAGGAACCCACTTAAATGTTAGATCACAGCTACAGATTTTTCTGGAACTTACTAGATACATCACTGTATATTGGTGAAGTTAGTCTTCTTTCAGTAAGAATATTTTTCTAGCGAGAAGCTAAACTTCTGCTAAATGCTGTGCTGGAAACTGGTAGATGGATGTCAGGAGCTTAGGAACAAGTATTGTTGAGATTATGTTTTAGAATGCTAGGTAAATCACAGACTGCCATGTCTCATTCTTCTCTTCTCCGTGTCTCATTCCAGCCCCCTGGCTTTGTCCCCCCTCCTTCCTATTCTTCATCACATATCTTATATGACATTCCTACAAAGACCACAATGATTCTTCAATGATTTTTAGTTAAATTAAGATATATTTTATGCCACTTGTCTGTACACTATCAGCTTTCAACTTTAAGAGATCACTTTTAAAAGAATCGATTCTCTCCGTCTCTTCCTATTGCACCTGAAGAAGGCATGGACTTCCTAAGTTCGATGACTTTTGCCTTTGTCTCTTCAGTCTTGATTTGGTACACTCCCTTTCTAACAAACTTATTTGACACTGTTGAAAAGCATATTGAGATGGTTGGTTAACATTATCAACTTGGCAGAGTCTGGAATCACCTAGGAGATGGTGTCTCTGGGCATATCTGTGAAGGACTACTTAGAAGAGATTAATTGAGGTAGGGAGAACTGACAGGGATAGGGGGCAGCACCAGTTTGCGGGCTGGGATCCGAACTTCATAAAATGGGGAGCGCTGGCTAAGCACCAGCACTGGGCTCTCCCCGCATTCTGATTATGGATGGAGGCAGCCAGCAGCCTCAGCCTCCTACTGCCTTGACTTCCTCACTGTACTGGACTGGACCCTTGAACTGTGAGCCGAAATAAACCCTTCCATCCTTAAGTTGTTTCTGTCATAATAATTTTTATCGCAGCAACAGGAAAGTGCCTGGTGAAGGTTAGAGCTATCCTTTTAAGGTACATTTTAAAAGAAGGAATATCCCTGAATTATCTTTTGGATTCTATTCATGGTACAAGAAAGTACATGATAGTGTTGGAGATAACATTTTTATTATCAAGACTCTTTAAAGAAAAATTTATAAAATAGGATCCAGATTATAGTTCATCAAATTTTGTCATTCCATTTTCTTAAAACACTTAAAGACATGTAAGTAGCCTTCAGTAAACAGCTGTTTTCACTGTCACATAAAGATCGATTTTCTTCAGGCTCGCATTACCCAAGTCATGCTTGTGTCTCCTTATCCCTTCATTAGCACATCCCAAAGTGTTTGTTTTTCTTTTTCCCCGTGTTTTATATTGATCTGAGATAATGAGTTATAATTCAGAAATTATTAGTAATATCTCATATGTTTCAGGATTCTGAAATATTTTTAAAGTTTCTCTTCTATTGTAGAAAAAGAGGATTTGTGGGTGGAGAATGGGGAGATGCCACTCTAGTTTACCATGCTAACTTATACTGTCTAGTCACTCTCTTTTGATATAATTAAGTCTAGAGCCTAGATTCAGGATTATAATCAACTGTGTGCAAGGCCACAGCAAAAGTGTGTTAAGTGTGGTGTTGCATTAAATATAATAACTCTTAAAGTCTTGGTTCAAATGTAGGTTGAAATATTGTGATAATATCCCTTTAGCAGAAAATTATCATATTTGCCATTGCCAATTTAAAATGCTCTACTGGTCAACACAATCGCTCTAAAAAGCTTGATGTGCGTGTGGATGTTATTTCCTTTATTTCTATGTCTTGAATGCACTGGGCTCTTTTGCTAGTTATTTTTGAAGGAATGTTTACATAGGAGAACTGTGGTCTGTGAGCCATATGAGTAGTTCTTACTGATTCTGGGCCACCTTATTTCCAGCACATCACGCCACACACACACACACAAAACACACGCATGAACTCGCGTGCAAACACACGCGCGTGTGCACACACACACACACACACACACACACACACACACACACACACCAGAGATAAATTTTGACGGGTTATTGTAATCCAGGGGAAAAAATCTCTTTTCTTTGGGCTGAGTTTTTATTGCAGCTTCTAGTAGTTGGATTTCAAACATACTTTGGGTTTGCTGTTCACTGGTCTTTTTTGTTTCTTTGCCTGTTTTATAAATACCATTTGCATGCCAAGAACCTGCTTTCAGCTTTTTTTTTTATTGATTCTTCTAGAATTTCATGTGTTTTGATCACATTCAGAACCGTTCCCCTATCTCTACCCTACCCCACTCCCCTCCAGCTTCATGTCCCCTCTAGAATTTAAAAGCTTATCAATTCTAGTCTGTGTTCTCCAATTGCTTTTGGATATGGGTCTGGCAGCATCTTTTTGTTGGGTCAGTGTCACTCCAGTGAGATCGTGTACAGCTTACCTGAGCTTCCATTTGACTACTGTAAGTTGGCCTTAGTCTCTGTTAGACACATACATAGCTCTTTATAGTTTAAGTCCTCAGAGGGTTTAGTGCTGAAGTGTTGTTTTTTGGCATCATTTTCATCTTAGATGGTGAATCCTCCCTCATTCCCTTCCTTGTTGTTAGAAACCTATTCTACTCAGCATGACGTTTCTGTCCTATGTGAAAACAGCAGACTTCCCCTCCGCTGTGGGATTATGATCCTGTATCCTATGGAACTTCTCTAAAAAGAAATCTTTTGACATTGGAGAATAGACTGGCAACTGTGATGTAAGGCAGTCATTTTCGCCTCAACTGTTTGCTGATGTGAAGCCCATGAGCTCTGAAGTCAGTCTGATTTTGAAATCTATCACTTTACTAAACCATATGCTGTTCTTCAATCTTCTTGTGTTTAGAACAATAGCAAAGTGCTTATGATAGAATAATAAAATGTCTACTGTTTGAGTTTTGTGAGGATTGAATGAATTGACCTGGAACATGGGCTTGTGGATGACATGGGGTGCTTAACAAAGGTGGTGTCACCTTCAACTTTACCGAGCACATGCCTTAAGTCCTGGGCTACAATTCTTTCATCTGATTTAGAGATGATCAAATACTGGGTGGCTGAGGAGCTAGGCCCCTTTGCTGCATGCTACACTTGCTAGATTGATTCTCTGAAGTCCTAGGTAGGTGAGATTCTTATAAATCTTTGTCTCAGGACTTCAAGTGACAATCAGAAGGAGAAATATGAAGACTATGTTCTTTACCAATCTTTGTATGGAAGGCCATCTCTTAAAATTGCCAACTTAAAATTAATGTGACTTGAGTAGACTGAAAAAGAGGTATTCCATCTGCCTGCTCTGGTGCTGTGAGCAAACAGCATCCCATGGCCTGTGGCCCAGAGAGAGATGATTGACATGAAGATACTGAGGAAGCAAGTAAGTGGCCATTCATATGACCACAAGTATTTTGCAAGAAAAAATTTTTAGAAATGAAATAGAAAATAATGCAGTGCAATGGCAGCACTGAGTAATCCTTTTTCATTTCTTAGAAGCTAGTGAGACATCTTCCTACTGAAGTGAGGAAAGGAATGGATGTCTTCCTCCTATTATTAAAGTGGACCCTTTCTAGCAGGCAACCTCAGTTTGCAAAAAGAACATTGATTTCTCATTAAAAAACCTTTTTATTTTGTGAGTGTTCTTTCAGTCTCCTAATTTGGGGCTCTAGAGATGGCTC